CTCATCTGGTTCATGAAAACCATTCACACATAGAGTAGAGGCTGCCTAGCACAAGTGCCCAGGTGGTATTTCTGATGATATAGTTCATGGTAAATGTCTGCAGGAACTGTGTCTCAGTGTCTACCACAGCCAGGCACTGGCCCTCTGCCACAAGTCATCTGTTTTCACCCTCTTGTGGTTGCAGATGAGGCTGCCTGGAGCTGCACTGCTATCAGCATGGTAGAGCCGGATCCCATCCTAGGCCTTGCAAGTCCAGGTCAGATCTGACCAGCTCAGCTAGATGATTGCACACATAAGAGTTCCTTCACCCACAACAGGTGGTGGTGGCACACACTTTAATCCCAGCACTCAGGAGGCAGAGGCAGGTGGATCTCTATGAGTTCGAGGACAGGCAGGGCTACAAAGAGAAACTGTCTCAGAAAGGGGGGAAAAACGTTCTTCTCCCCCTCTGTTTTCAGGGTCAGGCCCTCATAACTGACCTAATTGAAGATCACTTTCTGAACCCATCCTTTTGGCCCAGTAGAGAACTGTGGGTCTGCTGTCCTTTCTGTAGATGTGATTAGACTGAGAGTATCACTCAAATCACAGAAGTATTAGACAGGAGAGACCCAGAGCCCTGGATTTGGGCCCAAGATGCTGTCCTAAACTGCTTAATCTTGGTATTCCCAGAATCTCACCATAGCAATTTAAATATGCTTATTTTCCAGGACTGCCTACTACTTCTCCATCTTAACAATAATCCTTAATATTTTTATGAAGAACTGAAATAAAACCAATATTCTTCCATGCTCCTGCTGTTTGCTCTCTATGCTCAGGCCCTTTCTGAACTTATGGTTGACTTGAGGTCATCAGCTAGGTGAGTGCCAGAGCTGGGTTCCAACCACTGCCAGCAGGTTCTGTTCCTCTACCCACCTCAGTTGGATCCTGAGAATCAAAGATGCAACCTTGGGTGGGTAGCCTGCCAGTCAACAACTCTGCCCAAACAGCCCAAAGCTGGACCCAGATATGTCGCCTTTCCTTAACCATCAGGTCGGATGTTAGATGGCTCCCCTCTAAGAGGCAAGGTGATCCTCCTACATTGGCTGCTGCTCCACCTGAGCTTTATGCTGTCCTAGGGGGAAGGTGCTCCCTTCTCTTTCTGTCATCTGAAAGCCAACAGAACCCTTGATGTGTTAGGATCACTTACCCGCCAGCCTGGTCCCACAGCCACGTCAGTCCCAAATAATACACAGAGATGCTGTATTAGTTATGAAACTGTTGGCCTGTTACTAGCATTTATTAGCTAACTCTGTCTTAAATATTAACTTATTTCTATCTAAGTGTTTCCATGTGTTCTTAGCTTACCAGAGAAAGGGTCCTGACCTCTTACTCCTCTCGACTACATCTCCCAGAATCCCCCTTGTCTCCTAGTCCCTCCTATCTTGTCCCCTATAGGCCAACAGTGCTTTATTCATTAACCAACAAGAGAAACATATTTACAGAATGACCTCTCCCATTATTGATCATAAACTCTCATTTCCTCCTCAGTTTAGCCAGGCACATTGGAGAAACTTGCAGTCAGCCTGAGGTCACCTGAGGTCATCACTGCTTTCTGGATTGTATACTTACACTCGGAATCTTCCAAATTAGAAAGCAGTTGAAAAGGAAGAATTGATCCTTTGAGCTATCTTAATTACAGTGCAATAGAACAAAGCTTGAGAAACCAAAGCCAGAAGGCAGTGAAGTTTTCATAAATAGAAAACCAAATACTTTTGAAATTTGAGCATAGGACAAACTACAGTTTGTTTCCTGTAAAGAGAATATACTGATTTTTTTTCCCCTCGTTATATTAAAAAAAAAAAAATACCCATTTTAAAAACTAAAAAGTAGAAGCCAGAAGTTACTCAAAAACTCAGTCTAAGATTAGCTTGGATTTACTCTTGAGTGTCATGGATGACTCTTGGGAAGAAATAGTTGTATTCATGCCTTAAGGCAGCATAAAACCAAGATGGAGTTCAAGCATTATCCATCAAGGAGAAGGTATATTGGATGGTTTTGAAATCTTAAAAGACTTTGCTGTTCATGGTCCTAAAGGTATTTAAAGATAGTGATGATAATAATAATAAAAAAATAGTTGTAGATTTAAAGCACATCTTTTCCTGTCCCAAGCCAGATATGGTAGTGCATGACCTTAATCCCAGCACTCAGGAGGCAGAGGTAGATGGAGTTTGAAGCCATGCTGATCTATAGAGCGAGTTTCGGGGCAGCCAGGGCTACACAGAGAAACCTTGTGTCTCAAAAAATAAAAGAATTAATTAATAAATGAAAGCAGTAATAAATCCTGTCCTGCAAAAGAGTGCTGTGAGCAAAGCCCTGGGTTAAATTGCTTTTTAGGTAGGAAACTGCCTGTTGAGTTTGCAGGTGATGTGAAGAGAGTGTTCTGCAGTCCCCCTTCAAGATCTTGGTGCAGTGGGGTGGTTACTGGTTAGGTTGACTACCTTACTAGCAGTGTAAGGTGGCATCTGCTTGTCCTGCTGAGTAATCCAGCATGGAGACAAGGTCTTCAGCCTTCACTGTGAGAGAGTCCCCTGCAGTTAGAGAAACTGACCTGTTGCTTGGTAACCACAAGATTTCCACAGTGGATGCTCAGGAAGCCTGAGTCAGAGGGTCCAGGTATTTGGAGGGCTAGAAGTTGGCAGGATCCTGGAAGAATGGCAGCTTGTCAGAAGGCATGAATGCTGGATGCATGCTTGGGTTTAGAGGGGTTCACCTTCCCGTCTATGGTGCACGTTCTCGGCTAAGAACAAATAAGGGAATTGGGAGATGATTGTGGGAGAAGTGCATCTTGTTGGCATGGCTTTTGTGACAGCATTGAGGCCCTGCAGGATTGCCTGCCTACAAGTGGCCTGAGTTGGAATGTGTAGGCACCTGCTTGTTTGCTGTATGAGTCGGCTGCTGGGTTTGCAAGAGATAGCCAGAAGTATGACCAGGATACATGAAGGTAAGCGCAATAACCTCTACCTGTTAAGCATGCACTGCCACTGAGTCTACCCAACCCCGAGACACACTTTCTAGAGTTGGTCTGTCATTGTAGTTCCAGAGCTTACCTCCTGCTGCCCCACCCAGCTCTCTGCCTGTGAACAGACAGTTCTGGGACATTGCAGAGGATCGTTGAGTGTGTTGTCTATGGAGGTATCACATCAGGCAGCTGAAGACATAGGTATGATGCTCTGAGCTGCTTCCTACAGCCTTCACTTGCTCTGTAGGCAGTTCATGTTTCAGTCACCAGATGAGACTCTGGTTACTATTGTTTTCAGTGATGGCAAGAGCAAGGTTTCGTTTTGTTTTTGTTTTTTTTTTTTTTTTTTTTTTTTTTTTTTTTTTTGCTGGGGAGGATATTTTGAAATTTTGCATATCTTGAAACTCAGGTTATTACATTCAAAATTATACACATTGTGAGCAGCTGCTTCAAATAAGAGGGAAGAAAAAGTGTCCCGTCCTGTCAACCTTTTGCTGTCTGTCATGTAACCTGACTAAAAAATAAATTACGAGTACAGAAAGTTGCAGCCTTTGCTGTGGAGCAAGTCAATGCCCCACCACCACAGCCTGTCCACCTGCACAGGCCTGGAAGCTCAGCCCTGGCCAGGAACATGGCAATCCGTGTGAGAGGTCAGCATCAACAGTACTGCTCATTGTGGGGAGGGGGCTATAAGTAGAATTTGTCTCCACCCCAAGCTGACCTGGCAGTGGTTTTCAGTCTACAGGTCTTGTTTCCCCTATATAATTCTGATTGTGATCCCCACAATAGTCTCTGGCTGGCTGGCACTTCCCTGTGTGATGCTAGTGGTCTTGAGCCCTGCCCCAGCACACTTACTGAATAGACTTCCAGCCCTAAATATCATTGCTAACATACCTTTCCCACAAATCTTTTTCCCTAGCAGGGTTGACTCTTCCTCTTTCAGGAAATAATAAAAAAAAAAAAAGCAGGATCTTAACAACTGCAGCCCTACATACACTCTGGATGGGGGGGATTATAAATGGCTTCACCTTCGTTATAGTAGCATCTCCACCCTTCCTAATAAGGCTAATAGCACCAGTGCAGGCTGTGTCCAGTCTCTGACTACCACAGTACAGAACATAATGTCATGTTAGAGAGCAACCAGAGGCCTTTCTGGAGTTCCTTACACTGAGTTTTCCTGGGTCTCTGTCATGTAGGGTGCTGAAGTACTTGCTGGAAAGCCAGTATGGACTTACTGGTCATTGCCTCCAAGTTGGTGCATTTTATTCTTATGGTTCCATTCTTACTCTTCAGTGCATGAATGACTTTCTGCAAGTTTCCTCTTCTGACCAAGTGGTGAGACTGCTGTCTTTCTGAAGTTTCTGGGCTTCTGTACTAAAGCTGATGTCAGGCTTTGGCATTTTGTGGGTCAGGACAGGTCTGCATTCCTTCCAGCCCAGGTCTGTGCAGTGGCTGTGCTCACATGGCTCTCAGGCTTGGAATTTGAAGGATCAGGGTGGTTTCTGCTATCTAGTGAGTGCTGCGGAGTCTGTGTGGATGCCCTGCCTTTCAGGCTGGCCTAGCAGCAGTGTGCCTACAGTCTCCTAGACCTCAAGGGTTCACCCCTGACGCCCTGAACATGTAAGCATTGCAGCTGTTTTACGCTGTGGAGTTTCTGTGGGTTTTCCCATCCACCTGCAAACTGCTGTCTCATACACCTCATTTGCCATCAGAGTGTGAGAGTGTACATTTCTTCTCTCCCTCCACCCCTCATGAAAACAACACAGAACAAAGCCTCACTTTTAAAAATGCCATGATATTTTGCCACCGTTATGAAAATCTGTCAGCACCGTATCTAATCTTCTGGTGCATAGAATATCAAAACAAGTGCTACTGAAGAGATTGCTCTTCTGCTAATACAAAAATGTCAGCCTCCTGGTCTCTCAGCCAGCTGCTGTCAGCCTCTTTCCAAATGGAAGAGAAAAACACTAAAGTCTTCCCCTCTTCTGTTACTGTTCCTTAGGCCTGACCCTCGGAGGAAGACCCAGAATAAGCACCACTTTGTGCTCGCTGAAGTCCTGCACTCAGAATACTCGAGTGGTCTGGAGGCCAGCGGCATGAAGAGTGGAAAGCAAGGCAAACCTCGGGGCTTTCAGGTGGCACCCAGCAAGCCAGGGCCATGGAGAGAATGAAGCTGCTCCTACGACCAGAAGGCTCACCACCAGCCAGCAAGCTTCTTTTGGTTGTTTTTAATCTCTACAGGTCAGGGTGGATCGTCAGACCCCACCCCCCACCCCCCCCACCCCCCGCCTTTAGATTGGTGTCTTGTTCTTATCAGGGAAGCTTCTGCATCTTTCCCTGAACACAGACCCTCACCTGTTAGAGGAGGAGCCCTGGTGGAAACCAGTAAGCAGGGGCTAGTGCTAGACAGTCACCTACCTTGCTCAAGCCTCTTGCAAGATTGTGCATAGGGACAGCAAAGAATCCTGTGTGTCAGCCTGGAAGAGTGTGGCTCCTGGCAAGCTTGCCAGATGAAGCTGCCACACATGTATTGCTTGAGTTTGTAAGAAGGGATGTTAAAAAAAATTGTACAAAAGGATAAAGTCTTTGTTGAATAGCCTTTTTCTTAGTATCCATATACTCTGTCAGGAAGGGCCAAGAACATTTTTGCTTTGGGTCAAAAACCCAAATGTGTTGGCAGCAACACTTTTTTCTTCCATAAGCACAGCATAGCACCATGTGCATTGCCTCCCCTTTCATGTCCACAGAAGACTCCCTGTCTCTGGGCTAATTGACTTACTGTTGCCTTTTTATTATTGCCTTTGAAGTCAAAAGGCACCAGCACCCGAGCTTGTCTTTTCCCATCAGAGCCTGTCTTCGAGGTCTGAGGTCTTTGTGTTATGACCTAGACCCAGAACCCCCACATGCCTTTGTGTTTCTGGGAGGTTTGAAAGAGGACCCCTGGAGTGTATTGATTTCTCAATAAATGTAAGATTTGGACATTACAGAGGACTCACGAGAGAAAGGGTTATAAAGCTCAATGTGCTCTGTTTGAGCACCATTCTGTGCCTGCTTTCCTCCAGGTTCCTGTGTGCCCAAGCCCTCTGAAGGGCCTAAGACAAGTGTAGTACCACTTTTCCCTTCTTCTGAAGGCAGGCAGGGTGGAGGCTGTTTCAGGGAAGAAGATCCGTTGACACCCACACTAGGAAAAAACCCTGTGCCGGGGGAGCACTGCCTTACCAGGACTGGACGTCACAGACTTGGAGCCTGTGGGTGACATTTGTAAGGATACTCTGACGCTGCAGCAGGTGTGGAACTGACTGGACAAATCGGCCACCTTTCTTTGGATTTGTAATGACTCACATGCTTTTGATGGGAAATGAGGGATCAGACTGAAGAGTCAACCAGCTGTGTGAAAACAGGATTAGTGCCTGTAATCAGGGATGGCCACCTAACAATCTGTGTCTGCCTCCCAGCAACAGGCCCCTAAGGGCTCAGCTGCAGGGCAGTGAGGCGTGCTGGGACCTTACTGAAGTAGCAATAACTCTAACCCTAAATTTGGAATTCATACATGCAGTTTTCCAACTAGTAGTGGTGTCTTCACAGATGTTGGCGACGTCTGCTTAGGTAGTCTTCCTGCTTAGTTAACAGTACCCAGTCATCAGGAGACAGACTCAGTGAACTTAGGGTTAGTGTTCTCTAATTTAAACAACCTTAAAATGAGTCTCTTATGGATCTTTATAGGATGTGCATCCCAGGTATCATTGGACACAATGTTAGCCTAATTCCAGTGTATATAGTCTGATTTTGTGTGTATTTTTTATCGTACCTTTTTCTAAGGCCCCAGACTTGACATTTTTCTCATATCTGTTACCATATTAAAGTCCCAGGAGATTCAGACACCAAAAGGGAGTACTATGGCTGTAAAGTGCTTGTTTTGGGGTCCAAGCCTTCCCCATTTCCAGCCAGCTGCTGTGCATCTGTGAAGGGACACCACTGGAGGGCAGCGAGCCCTTGAGCAGCTGTCTGCAATGGGACATCATGGGTATCCTCCATTCCCACAGAAGCTGGGGCCAAGCAGAGAGCCCCGCTGAGAACTGTTCTAATAGAGGACTGCTTTGATTTCTCTACTCACTGGCACAGGAGAGAAGAGGGGTGTGAGCCCCTCAGTGCAAGTGAGTCTAAGCTGCCAGTGGCTGGGTCCAGCACTTCACACAGCCAGCAGAAGCCAGCCCCAGAGATGGGAACTAGTTTCCCTATTGAGAAGTGATTAAAGGGCCTTTCCACTTTGCCTCCACGACCATCAAACTTTCTCAGTCTGCTAGACCATAGAAAAATGTAGAGCCAAGTTGTCCGGGTAGTGCCCCTAATAATAAAAAAAAAAAAAAAAAAAAAGGCAGCCCAAGTTCCAGAAGCCTTGCAGCTGAGGGTCAGCTGGAAAAGCTAACCTCTTAAACTTGGTTGCCCCTTTGTAGTTCAGATTTAGAAGGGACTTCATTTCAGAGCTGCCTATTGTTTGGTCCACTGGGGGCCTCTCATGGTCATTCTTTTTTGTTTTAAATGAGGGCACCCAGCCCATGGGTTAGGAACAGAGAAACCAATTTAGCCTTCTAAATGGATGGGAAGCGCAAGCCCACCTCACTGCAGAGGTTGTGGAGTTATTATTGCAGATGGGATGTGCAGGACAATTTAAAATATTGTAATTATAAACTTGTAGGGAAGCCTTGTTCTTCATTAATGTAAGATATGAAATCGCCTCCGCGGTACAAGGACAATTACATAGTCAGAATGTGTCTGTGGTTTACACTGCACTGTGTAAATGTGAGGGTGGCTGCTCCAGCCTGCCTCCTCCACTCTCACAAAATGAAAAGCACACCACCGCAAGTTGTCCTTTGATAGATTTTTAATATGATTTTAAAGAGTTTTGTTTGGTCTCATTCTTATTCAATGAGATTAATTTAAAGCACTTATCCCCTGGGTTTAAGTCAATCCATGTAGGATTTGGGCAGGGTTTGTTGCTTGGGGGGTTTTGTTTGCAGGAGGCTATGAGAGACTCCTTTCCCACTTCATTAACCCTGAGTTGGGGACAGTCCCCCCTCACACCCTACCACAGCCAGATCGAGGGATTTACCAACCCGCATTCACATGCAAAAGAACTTGAAAGCCGAGGGGCTCCTTGACTTAATTAGCTGCTGTGCATTTTGCAAAATTAGAATAATACCCCCACCATCGCAGAAAAGCAAAGCCTGGGTGCGAGGATCCTGGGAGGTGGGGAGGAAACAGTAGCCGAACTGGCTGTGGTTGGGGCAGAGGGGGGGGGGATGCTTTCTGAATACGCCCCCTCCCTCCACTGCCAGATTCTCTCCCAGAACAGTTGGGCCAGGAATGCTGGAAGGGTACTTTGCTTGCAAGCTTCCAAACCCCCGCAAGTCCATCTTGTAGGTCAGTGTGCTGCAGGTGGTGTGGGGGAGGGCAGCACCTGCGCCCACATCCCGGGAGACCGAACGGTGTCAGGAGATGACCTTGGCCCTTTGAACGTGATCTGGCGTCTGACTCCCATGAGAAGTCAGAGCAAAGGCGGGTGATGCATATGCCCCCTTTCTACCCCCGCTCCTATTTCTCCCAGGGCAAGGGGTGGGGGTGGTTAGAGAATGGAGAGCAAAGGGTTGACCGAAGGACTCTCGAAGGCCCGTGGGGTCCTATCAGGCATTAGAGACTAGGAGCTGCGGGTAGCTAGAGCGGAGGGCGCGGGGCCGAGGAGGGTGGGGCAACAGGGAACAGCCTCGGTGTCCATCTGTCTGCCCCGCGCCTGTGCGCCTGCAGGGCCGGTCACCAGCTGCCGGCGCCCTGGTCTGAACCAGATGAGCCGGCTCAATGAGTGCTTCGTGGCCTGACACGCAGCAAAGGGAGGCCAGGCTCTAGCCTCGCCCGTGGTCCTCGTATGGAAGCGGGACGAATCAGATGGGAAGGCTGAGAGCTACAGGCTCCCCTCGATGTGGAAACGGGGAGACTCCTGAAAGTCCAGTCAGGGTCTCCTGCCCATGACCACCGGGGAGCGGGGGCAGGAAAAAGACAAAATTTTTTGCGAATGGAAGGAAATGTAGTGTAAGATGCCGAAGTTGCTTATGAAGGAAGGGGTGGGAGAGGGCCTGGGCGGGAACCAACGGACGGTAGCGCGGACAGGCGCCTGGTCATTTGTAAGAAGTTTATTTCCACATTTAAAAAAGAACCCAAGAGGCCTGGCTGCCCCGGGACCTGGGTGGAGGGATGGGGCTGGGGGCCCGGATGCATGGGCAAGCCCTCTCGACCACTTCCTGCCCTACCAGGGAGTGGGAGGACACAGGCCACAGACTCAACTGATTTACGGACACTGTCACGGGCTCATGGGTCACGAATAAATAACTTCATATACACTTTGCACACTGTATGTACAGCTCTGTCGCTAGCCCGGGGCTCGGAGAATAAAGGAGTCGGGAGGGAAGCCCCGTACAGCACTCCCACCCTGTTCCGCAGAGGTGCGGGCACGGGAGAGAGCCAGTCGCTGGCGTCCCCTTACCTGCTGCTGAGGGGACAGGGGGCACTTAGGGAAGCCCGCACGGACTTGGGGTTGGGTGGGAGAAGGGCAGGGGCGCGTATGTACATCCGGCAGGTGGAAGTGGCTCTGGGGTGGAGCAGCCGGGAGAGAGGTCGCAGCGGAGGGGAAGCCTCAGTGGATTTATCCCCCTCGGGAACACTGGGCTGCGGCGCTGCGGAGAGCCGGGCAGCCCTGCCCCGGGGCGACGGGAGGGATCCGCGCCCAGCCTGAGCTGGGGGTCCCGGAGCACGGCTGGGGGCGTGAGGGCGCCTCACCGAGGCTGCGCGGCGCGCGGGAGGACGCCGGGCAGCGGGGGCAGCGGCGGTGGAGGCTCGTTGGCGCCCTGGAGTCCGTGGATGAGGATTCGGGGCACCAGAGGTCTCTGCAGGGCAGGCGGCGGTGCGCTGGGACCGCGGTACAGATAGAGCGCTGCGCCCGGGTCCAGGTTGGAAACGAGACTCTGTGGGTAGAAATAAGGCGACGGGAACATTCTCTGGAGCGCCGAGTAATTGCCTGCCTCCGCCAGCAGCTCCAGCCCCACGGCTGTCTGTCGCTTCCATTTAGTCCTGGGAACCAAAATCAAGGCACCAAAAGGAAAAGAAGAGCATCAGGATTAGGACACTCCACAACCCTTGCCCCTTCCTAGTGACTGATACAGAGAAGCCATAGGGTGTCCAATAGGGAGCATGCTAATTTGTTAATAAATAACGGAGTGCCCGAGGTAAATGCATCATGCCTCATCCCCTCTTCCACTGGCTTTCCATTACCGTTGTCCCCATTTTACAGATTAAAACCTTGATGTGTGAGCCAGTTTTCATGCAAGTGGCAGACAGAGCCTCTGCTCCAAGCCAGATTGTCTGACTCCAAGATGCACATACAAACTCACAGGTCGGGGTACCCTCTGGATATGCTTCCCCTGGGGAGGCCTAATGGAAGTGGAGTAACAGAGAGGGTGGTGGAGCTGGCTACTGGGTGGACACCTCCCTGCCCAGGGGGTAGCCCCAGAAGCCTGGGGGACTCCAAGCAGAGATTTCTCTCCAAGAATGCACATACTTTCTTTCCCAGCTCTGTGTACACTGGCCACCTAGATTTGAGGCCTGGGCTAGCTAGTCCCAAATCCCTCTGGGCCAGAAGTTGGGAGGCCTAGGGCAAGGCAGATGTGAGGTGAGAGTTAGGGTTAGGGGTGTGGTTAGGGTTAGGGAGGCCTAGGGCAAGGCAGATGTGAGGTGAGGGTTAGGGTTAGGGGTGTGGTTGGGCATGCCTGTCTGGGTTCCATGAAGTGGGCTCAGTCACACTAGCCCTGTTTTCCTCTCTGAATAATTCTTCATCGTCATAATTGTGTAATTACTGCAACGAGCCTTAATTATTGATGCCTGAAGCCTTAATCGGTATTTATTATTAATGGGGCTGTGTGTTCTGAGGCTTGTTTATGGAAGGCACCATTCCTGCCTCTGCTAAGTATGTGGGAGAGTGTGTCACTATGCAGGCTGACATGTCTGTGCATGTGTACATTTAAGTCTTGGATGCCAGTCTAGTTCTTTCTGTCCCTCACCATGGGACTTAGGGCAAGGTCTTTTCTCAAAGCCTCAGTTTTCCTACTTTTATAGAATGGAAGAGACTCAAGGTTCCAGAAGAAGCCCCCCACTCCCCGCAGTGAAACCTCACCTGCGGTTCTGGTACCAGGTCTTGACCTGCGTGTCAGTGAGGTTGAGCGAGGCAGCTAGCTCCATGCGGTCTTGCACACTCAGGTATTTCTGCCGCTCGAAGCTACGCTCCAGTTGCGCCAGCTGATGGTCGGTGAAGGCCGTGCGAGCTTTTCGTGGCTTTTTCAGGCGCACAGGGGGACTGTCCCTAGAGCTGGAGATCTCGCGATCTCCCTCCTCCTTCACTGCGGAGACACAGAGGGCACGTCAGGGTTTGGTAGTGCTTGCGCCCCAACGTCCCACTCCCTACAAGGCGCAGACTTCTGGGGTCCCGAAGCACCTAGAGCACAGAGACGCCATCGGTGCCAGGATTCCCTACCCTCAAAAGGGTGTGAACTGTGAATGAGGAGGAGGAAATGGTGTTAAGGAAGTGCCTGGGGGCAGAGCCGCTGGCAGCTCCCTGAAGAAACTTAACCGTCCCCCACCCCCTCACCCACACACACAACAGGAGCAAGAAAGCCAATTTGGGCAGACTGGCCTAGCCTGCCACTGGCCGAGAACGGGTTTCTGGGTATTTGCCTCCACGTTTGTGAGCAAAACCCGCACGGAGAAATAAAACCCTGTTCGCTCCTCAGCACCCCATCGTCCGGAAGAGCGGATAATTGTGTCCATGTCTCTCCGACCCCGGTTTAGCCAGAAACTATAGCGGTGGATTCCCAAGCCACTTCCGAAGTATGCAGGTGGAAGGCCGGCAGGGTACGGGCATCTGTGAGCGCCAAGAGCTAGGAGAAATAATCATCGGCTGCGTGTATCACAGAGGTCGAGGCTTCGTTCGTGCCTGCTGTGGCTCCCACCCCACCAGTGTGGACAGTCCTCAATCAGGCAAATGGTCATCTGTTCCTCACTACTGAGGTCCACCGTGGACAAGACAGAACTGGATTAATTCGTTTTCCTCTCCTTTCGTTGGGGTTGACTTAACAGTAAACACATTCAATCGAAATAGTCTGGCATATCGCCTTCTCTTTAGGCAAGATTGGAACGGAATAGCCCACTTCTCCCAAAATAAGCTTTTAGGTTGGGGCTCCTGCCCACCCTACCCCCTGCTTTCCTTATTTTCTTTTATAGTGAGTTTCATTGTGCGTGGCGTTTGTCATGACAGGGTTCAGTTGAATGTGAGGTGATTTCTCTCGGTAGGAAACAATAATCCGGTTAATTGAGCCACTAGGGAGGGAGGCTTTTCAGCCAGAGAGGCTGGGCTTCCAGGCAGGGAGGGAGCCTGGAGCCCGAGCATCCATGCATTTCGGAGTCCTGGAATAACTCTGCCCCAGTCTGCCTTTGGCCTTCTGCTTGCGCTGGAAGGCTTCCGAACCCTCAAGAACAAAGATGACTTTTCTCCCCAGAAAGCCCAAAGCTTATTCTTATTCAAACCTCAAACTTGATATCGAAGAAATCTTACTTTACCTCCCTCCACCCCCCCCCCCTTAATTACTTGGACAATCCCTCATGCCAGTGGCATGGCCAGCCACTTTTTATTTCCTTTTAACTTTAGTCCTTTCCTGGCTCTGCTGGAGCCTTTGGGACTCAAGAGTTCAGTCTGTCTCTGTCTAGCTACCTTGTGTCCATTTCTCAGACTGACTTGCATCCCATCGGTCTACAGCCTGAGAGCTAGAGAGCTTTCCAGTGTGGAGTGAAGCCCTGGTTTGCTTTCTCCCAGAACCTGGGCTTCAGCCAGTATACTGCTGCCTTACTTCCAAAGCCCCATCCAACTTCAGTAAATACTGTTTAAGAAACCTTTCATGACAGAAACTTGTGATGGGACTGGCCTGTTCCCGACCTCTGCCTCATTTCGTCCTTAGAGGAAGTGACTCAGAGTAGTCTGTGGCTAGATAAATGCATCTACCTGGCTCCTGGCTCCTGTGTGTCTCTCAAACCAGCTTCCTAACTCTGCAAAAGTCACTCCTGTTTGAGAAATGTGCTAGGCCTGGCTTTGCTCAGCCAATGTACCCCCCCACACACACATACACTTCACTTCACCGGAGTTTTAAGTAAGTACAAAAGCAGCAGCCTGTGCCTAGAGGTGGCTGCAACTTTCTGCAGCAGCATCCTGTGCTTCAAACCTATTTAAGTGAAAGTAGACAGCCGGCTCTAGGCTCTCTCTCGTCATCTCCCTGCTCAGATATCATCAGGGACAGGAGAAGAAAATTGATATTCCAATTATCTTAAACGAAATGGAATCTCTCCTCAAAATCCTGCTTGGGGCAAAAGTATAAAAGGAGGCAACTCTTCATAAAGGCAGGGCTGGACCCAATTGCTCTTTAACCATGAAGCTAGGTAGAGCTGGTTAAAAATTGTACAAATTGTAAGGGATAAAACACACACACACACACACACACACACACACACACACACACACACACTGCTTCTCAAAACAGGTGTGTGTGTGGCTTCTGGGGTCAAGTTTCCCAAATACCTCTAGACCTCTTCTTGAGTGCTGTGGTTGAAACTGCCAATTTTCTAGAGATGATGGGTCCATGGCCTGGTTGAAAGAAACCTAGTTATTTCCACTGGGGGAAGAAGAGAGAAATGTGTGGACCAGAATCCATGAGGGGCTTCAGTTTGGAGTCTATCCTCAAAGTGTTGGGAGGAAGAATTAAGCAACTCTACCTAAATAGTTGTAAAATTTAGCACAAATGGGTACCAGGAAATGCAAGCAGAAATGAAGCTGACTTTATAACAAAGTATTGTTTTGGGTATTAATTGTTGCAAAGCCAGGAGCAGTTTCTACCAGGTCCTAGTTTTCTGCTAGTTGGCATAGAGCTCCATCCCCTGCTCCCTCCGACACTCAGGGCCTCTGCTACTTAACTTCTTCCTGGAAAGAAAATTATGCCCCTGGACCTTATAAACAGCTAAAGTCAGAATGGAGCCCAAATATAAGAAATAAAACTAAAGAATGTTCTCTTTCTTTCCTCCCTCCCTCCCTCTCTTCATGTTTTCTTTCTTCTCATCTTTCCTCCTTTCTGTTTAATCCCATCTCTCAGCTCCGTCATTAAAACAGAATGAAAATATCCGCAAAGTGATAATGGAAGTAACTGGACCTGTCACTCAGGCATCTCTAGGTCTGAATGCAGCCTGGTGATCACTACTTAAGACCCAATTCAGAGAGAGCTGCTGTGTAGAAAGATGTGGGGACCTTCCCCCTCAGAACCAGCCAGCTGGCCAGGCTGCCCATTACTTCTTCAAACTAATCTCTTCATTTGCAGGTTCACAGGCCTTAGACTACACTCTCCAATGGGTGGGGAGGCCCACTTTCTCCTCTTGTTGGGAAATTCAGATTAAGGGCCAGAAGATTGTTACTGTACTAAGGGCTCTGGCAGTAATTTTCTGCCAGGCTTTCACTCCAACAAACAACATCCTCCAATTCTTGTTGCACTGTTGCAAGCTCTCCTCCCCGGGAACCTTAGAGGTGAGGTTCTTGTCCACCAGCACAACTAACTGGTAGAGGGGTTGTGGTCTCAACTGGGAACTTAGAAAGTTTGCTTTGTACTTCTGGTTAGGCTTGCTGTCCCCTATACACAATACCCCCCTCAGCTTCTCCCTGCCACGCACACTGAACTCCAGGGTCCAACCCTGGGGCTGGCAGATCAGTGGAGACTAGACCAACTCTCAGCCTGGACCTGGGGAATCCCTGAGGTGGCCATGTGCCTGTCTCCAAGTGTGTGCTCTCAAGTTCTAAGTGTCACTTTTTAGAAACACTCATCTCCCATTTTCATCTTGCTTTCTTACCTTTGTACTCAGAGTCCGATGAGGCACTGCTGACACTTTTGTCCAGCTTGTCGCGAAAGTCCTCCCCGGCCTTGGCTGCAAGGCGGCCCCCAGGCTCAGGGGCTGCAGGCTGCCCGCTGCTAGAATAGGGTGCACACGCCGCAAGAGGTTTGCAGTCGGCAAGGATGTCCCTGATCAGAAAGGAGGAGGTGACGGTTCTCGACTGGGCTGGGGCTGAAAGCTGCCCTGGCTGCAGGTGAGAGTCCAAACCTGGGCCAGATGCCGCACTGGGCCTCGAGGTACTGGTCTCCAGACAGTCTCTTCCGGGCGAAGCTGGAGAAGAGCAGTCGCTGCTGCTCTCTGAGCGTGGACTCAGCTCCAAGGGTGAACGGCAGTCCCCAAGCAAGGGGTCCCCCTTGGGAAGGGCGGGGCTGCTCGCTCGGTGGGAGAGAATGGAGTCAATCCCAAAGCCATTGGAGCCTTCCATAGCCAAACTGCGACCTGTCCTCCCCAAAAGCTCCCCACCCACCCCCAACCCCAGCCGCCGCTGCCCCCTGCCCCTAGCTGCGGGCTGGCATGGGGAAGGCGGGCAGGGAGCCTGTGGGCACCTTGGATGGAGTTCAGCCTTGGGGAAGCCCGGGAGCTCTGGGCCAACCTCCTTTGCGCATTACATCCAAAAGGGTTCAACGCGTCTTCTGCAGCACCGCGTCTAGCAGCCGAGCCGAGGGGGGTGGTGGTGGGAGTGTCAGGGAGGAATGGGAGGAGGGCGCACCAAGTTGGGAAGAGCCAAAAGGTAGAAGAACGGCCTGAGGGCCCCTTTGGCACAGAAGAAATGCGAAGCTGTTGGAATCTGAATCAAGATCGCCTTTTTTAAAAAGCAAAATCCAAACGGCTCGTTTCCTCAAGGCAAACAGTAGCCTAGGGCAGGGGTCAGCAGGGCGTCTAGCAAGCGGCCCGGGCCACGCTACTGGCAGGCAGAACAGAGAGCACCTGGAGGCCTCAGCACCGCGGACAGCGGCAGCGGCCGGCCGATCATGAAGACACCTGGCCCCGGAGATCTTGCGTGCACGCTCGGCCCCTCCAGGACCCGTCAGCACCGTGGACAGCGCCCCGCGGCTCCTACTGCAGCTCTCACCTGTCCTCGGCGCGCGCTTTCGCCGCCTCCCTTTGCTTAAAAAAAAAAAATCGAACTTGTGTCACTTTTACTTTGGGGCTGGCTTTTTTTGTTGTTGTTGTTTCTCTCTCTCTCTCTCTCTCTTTTTTTTTTTCGTTGTGTTGTGTTTTTTTTTTTTAAAGGGAACTCACCCACGTGTCCCCGGAGTGATGACGCTGATTGGTTCCGGCCGATTTTGGGGGTGATGTCACGGCTCCACAAGCCACGGCCCGATTCTTTTCCAGTTTGATTAAAAGAGACACTGAATTAATTACAGCACAGACCTAACTGTTTACCGGCGATTTCCACACAGTTTGCTTTCATTAGGTCGGCGATGACGCCCCTAATGAAGATGATTAGCCCAGGGAGGGGGGCAGGGACCGGTGGGAAGGAGGGCCAGCCGGCTGCGTGGCCTTTAGTTAGGATGCACGGCCTTGAAAGCCTTCTCCCGAGCCTGTTCATAATTATTCAAGCTACTCGACCGAACCGCGGTGGGTCAGAGATCCTACCTCCCATTTTTCTTCCTCATCCCACAGAAAGGCAGCAAAGCCAGATGGAGAAAAGACCTGTGTGTGTAGGGAATCCCTTTCCTAGTAAGAGAAAGAATTTAAAATTTTGTTTTTGGGGGGGGTGTTTTGCTTGGGTTCTAGATCTCTCTCTCTGTCTTACACACACACACACACACACACACACACACACACACACACACACACACACACATTCAAGATCTGGGTCTGCTGTCCTGGAGCAGAAGGTTAAGCCTAATGTCTCTCAGAGAAGAGCACTGCCTTACTGGGAGGCAAGAATTGAGAGGTGGGAAAGATAAAATTTAGACTGTTAAGGGGACCCACGGATATGACTGTGGCCCGAAGAAACAAAGAACACAGTGACCTCTTCATCCCTAGTCAGTGGCCTCCCAGGGGCTCATGTCCTGAGAAGCTAGTAGGTTTTGTATATGCGCGCGCTTGTGTGTGTGTGTGTGTGTGTGTGTGTGTGTGTGTGTGTGTTACCTCTAGACACGACAATGCAAGTTTTGAACTGGCACGAACATGATGAAGATGTCTAAGGCCAGCTTGGTAGTCAGCACCCAGACGTGGGTAGCCTGCGTTCTGTTTTCAAGGCAGTGCTACAAATGAAATTATGGCCGGCCTTTCCCAGACTCCGCTACTGCGCTCTCATTCCACGCCTTTCTGGGGCCAGCCTCTGGTAGTGCCGGGGCCTAAGACCCCAAAGCAGCTGCAACGGGTGGGGGGCCTGAATTCTCTGCGCTCAGCCTCAGGATCCAGGATCTTCGAGGAAGCAGAGCTGCACACCTGTGCAGCGGGGGCCCAGCAGCCAGAGTGACCTGCCCAGCAGCTAGCGAGGAGCCCAGACTTGCCCCTTAGGCGCACTCCTATCCCCTCGCCCTGGGCCCCTGGGAAACTATTCGAGGCCGGTGTCCGGCTCCGGGCGTCCGAGGCTGCCATGGAATCGTGGAATCGTTAAGTGCCGCATCCTGCAAAAGCGGTCTTAGGCCGGGAGTGGCCCTTCGCAGCGCGCAGAACGGAAACTTTGTCCTCTCCCGGGCTGGGCCGGCGGTGGCCTCGTGCCTCGCTCCTGCGCATTCCCTCTGCTCCTGCCGGCAGATTGGAAGCGGCCTCGCCGTGGGCCGGGATGGGAGCGAGGACCCGCTGCTCCCGGGGGACTGCGGAGGGCCAGGCTCGGCTGCAAGCTGTCGGGGAGGCAGGAGGGCGGGGGCCCCTGCGCTGGGTGCCTCCGGTCGGGCCTTGCTTGTCGTCTTTCTTTTCAATTTGGTGGATGGGGGTGAGAGTCATAAATCACCGTGAGCCGGGTGTCTGAAGGCCTTCCTTGCCAGCCTCCAGCTTGGGCTTCTCTCCTGCTGCAAGCGGGTCCCTCCTCAGTCGCTGGTCGCCTACACCTCCACTGCTTCTCCCGTCAGGAAAACCCTCATCTTTTGTAGCACCTTAAGTTCACTTGAGTCGCGGACATCCCTCCCTTTCATAGTATGGAAACATTGCTGACGTGGCCAGCAAAGAGCCACGGTTTCTTAGCTATCTATCATGTCTCCAGCCTCTTCTGCCTCAAGGGCTCCTAGCAGCTCCTGCCCTGGCCAGCCTTCTAAGTCTTAGACTTGTGCAGAGATCTCTGACCCAGCAAAAGTGAAACCTAGAGCTCACAGATCAGAGTCCAAGCATGCAGAGAGGAAAGTCAGATCCTCTTAGGGCAAGGGGAAAAATAAACCAGGCCAAGACTCAAGCTCTTGCAGCCCTAGCTGGCTTCTCTATGCTTCTCAGAGGCCCAAGAACATTTAGTAGTCAGTTAACATAACATCATCAGTATTGAATTATTGTAACCTATAGCAATATAAAATATGCTGCGTGGAATGTTTCATTTGGAATTTAGGGTCTAGCCCTATTTTACATGCCTGCTTCTTTCTAACTTAAGGTGTTGATGAGAGAGGTACTCCTCCTCCAGCCTCCATCTACCTGAGAGGCTCTTGATCTCAGCCTCTCTGAAGCAGTCTGAAGGAAATAGGGGAAATTTTTACCAAGAGGTCCAGAGAGCCTGGATCCAATGCACTCTCAAACAAGGGATGAGTGTCTGGACTTTGAGTCCTAAGTGGTTGGTGTATGCCTCAGGAAGTTTCCTGGCCTCTCTGAGCTACCCCTCTACCTACAGACACTTAAGTAGAGTACACAGTAGGAGGTGTCCTCCAGCAGTTCTTGGCCCCCTCCTTAAGACTCTGGGGCCTCAAAGGAAGGCCCCCTGCCTGCCTCTGAACTTGTCTCTCTTGCTAGGGGCTCCTGTTTCCTTTTATAAGAGGATGGGAGAGGCCTGTGGGTGTTATGAGGCACCCGACTGTAGATTCCACAGCCTTTTCCATCAAGGGCCTCAGACCTAGGCTTGGCTTTGGGTCAGGCAGAGACCTGAATGCTTCCCTCCCTCTCCTCCCTCCCACCCTCCCTTCCTCCTTCCCTCCCTCCCTCCCTCTCTCTCTCTCTCTCTCTCTCTCTCTCTCTCTCTCTCTCTGTCTGTCTATCTCTCTGTCTCTCTCTCTCTCTCTCTTCCTCTTTCCCCAGCACCATTTGTCCCTGGGACTGGACACAGGATTGTTTCTACTCTTTTTGCTTACCTGGCTCTGCAGACTGAGCCATACAGAGATGTTTCCTGTGTCTTCCGAATGCCCCTGAGGGTTGTGCTACTATATATAAACAGCCATCATTCAAGCTTTAGAATTGCCAAAGAAAGGGGCCAGATGATTTTGAATACTGACTCAAGAATGGGCCAGAGGGATTGGAATCCTAGCTCCAAATCTCACACTGGGACCTAGTAACCCAGACAAATCCTCATTAAGGTGTTTATTTTATCCATCCTGACTTTTAAATTTTATTTTAAGTTATTGCACTGTAACTATTGTCTTGGTTGCTGAATTATTTTGATATTCCCTAAAATCTGTACGGGTTCTATCCTGGGACCCTGAGAAAAGTTACAAAAAAAAAAAAAAAAAAAAAAAAAAAGGCAGATTGCTTCCTGAGCCTCATTTGTTTGTTTGGTTTTCTGTCTTTCCTTTCATTTTGTTTAGTTTTTCATCTATAAAATGAGGCTGAGGACACCCTACTTTCTAGGGTTCTTCTGAAGCAGCTTTGCACTTCCTGCTGATCCATTCATAGTTTCGCAACTAATAATAGCAGGAGCTGCTCTTACGGGTAGACTAGGAACCCAGGTTCAGCTCCCCGGCCCCAGGAGACATCAATTCACTCATTTACCCAGGACTTTCCTACCAAATCAAGTTCTTAGGGCGGAGGATTGGAGGTGTACTCCACCCATGACCCATGAGGATGTCTCTCAGGCAGATGAGTCTGAAAGGCTGTGGACAAACAGCAGCCTTGAAGCCAGAGTGTCCTTAACCATTTGTGTTTGTTTAGGTCAAAGCCATGGGAGCATCTGAAGGCAGAAGAACACATTCCTGCCTTTCTCCCTCCCTTCCTTCCCACCAAGTCTATGCTTCAGGCCAGATGCCAGTGAGTCACAGAAGGATCCATTCTTGTATGGCCTATCTAAATCCCCTTCATAACACTGAGCTGGGGTTCTGAGGAAGTGAATTTGCCCAATATGTGTGAGGCCCTGGATTCCAATCCTAGCACTAAAAAGAAAAAAGAAAAAAAAAAGTGTTTTGCAGATTTCCCACCTATAGGTTCAAGTTCGTCACTGCACTGCACCCAATGGGAGGAACCAGAATCAAAATCCAACTTGGGGCTAGGGACACAGCTCAGTGGTAGAACACTTGCCTTTTATGGGCAAGCCTCTGGGTGGGATTTTCAGGGAGCTAGCTTAGGTTTCCTGTTTGTCCCCACACACATACACACACCATGTGTGTTTTCTTTCCCTTTAATGATAAGCCCAAACATGAAAGGATTTTCCCGGGGAAAGGAAGTGAAGAAAATAGAATATTTTGGTCCACAAGGGTAAGTGAAAGAGAAAATGCTAGGCTAACAACACAGAGCGAGCGGTATGGTCACAGTGCAGGCCATCTCAGCATCAGAGCAGGGTTTGCTTGCTACTGTGGGGGCAGGGTCTGTCTATATCCCTCTGTCTGTTTTTGAAGACAGATCTTAGTTGGAGTGATAGAATAAGCAGACTAAGGGCTGTGTGGAGAGGTACATTCCTATTGTCTCAGTGTGTCGGGGAGAGAGGACAGTGAATCCAAGAACAGCAGCCTGGACTTCTCAGGA